AAGGAATGATAGATAGTATTAGACAGTACAGGTGAAAATTACTTACCTTGCTAAACAAATACAAGAAATTTACCAAATAAGCACATACTATGATACTAGTAATTTAGTACTAATATCACACATTTATACTTGTTTGCTCGTACCAAGTACTCTCTCATGAATGGAGTACGTAACAATCACATGTTACGGATGGACTAATGGAGTCCATGGAGGTAATAGCACACGAAAAAAATCTAGCTAATTTTTATCGTTTACGTTTGCTCGTACCGAGTACTCTATACTCAGTATACTACACTACGTATTATTTCAAGAATATAATTTAGGATCTTGGGAATCTAAGCAATTGTATTATTGGAAATTTGCAATCTTGTTACTATACATGTATTATGCACAATTGAGTAAATCTTATAAGGATCGAGGAGTGGAGGAATGTCCCTCTAGGTTTTTTCTTGGGAGGGTATTTTTTTAGTTTTTGCCTGGATTTTCTAGTTTTTTGGGTTTTCTTTCGATCTTCTCCCTTCTCCCTTCTCCCTTATTTTTTTCTCCTTCATCCCTCTCTCCTTGATCTCCCTCGTGGATATTGGTAGGGGCTACTACTAGTTCCTTGATCAGTGGTAAGCCCCAAAATCCCTTTTTAATCGCTTATAATAATAGATCTCATCCTTGCGATGGTTTTCATCGGTGTAGATGATTTCTCTTTTGCCATCGGAAGTTCTATTTTGTTGATGGTGGTTCGTGCGGCGTTGAATCGGTTGTCAGATCAACGACTACAATTAAGTTCAATTAAACAACTACCAAAGATCGCAAGGCCCCCTTGTAGAAGAAGGCTGCAGAGGACAGTGATTCAAGAGACAAGGGTATTCATCAATGTCAATTCTCACTCGCGATAGTAGTTTTATAGAATTACAATTGTTATTTGATTCAATTTTCATAGTATTAATTGTTTCTGATCTCCTTTATAAATGTCGTATGGCTTCTTATTAATGAATTGATCTTCCTTTCCAAAAAAAAAAAGGTATTCCCAGTGTGATCAGGTTTCGATCCTCACCTCCACCCCATTTGTTTCATTATTTCATTGATTTTGTGAATCTTTGCTTTGTAAAAAGTACTCTGTATAATTTATGATTCAATCATACAAGCATGGTTACACCATTCAACTATTATCCTAAAAAAAAAAGATTGAAACGCAGAGCCCAAGCGGTTGACGAGCAATAGTGTTAAAATTTTGCAAAAAAAGAAATGGAGCAAGTTACAAAATACAACCGTAAAAAGGAAAGTGAAGCAAATAATAAAGTACGGAGGGAGTATAATACAACTCATTTCTAGAATTTTTATTTATTTTATTGTCTTTAATTATAGAGTGTTGATTTGAGAATTGAGATTTAGGTTTCGTTCACTTCACCTTATTTTTGCTGAACTAAAATTATTTTTACTGAACTAAAATTATATTTGCTGAACTTAAATAATTTTTACTGAATTGAAATTATTTTTACGAAATGAAATTATTTCTGCTGAACTGAAATTATTTCTACTAATTCTCTATTACATTTTTTCTTTAAAGTTACTGATTATTTTTACTGAATTGAACTTGTTTTTACTGAACTGAAATTATTTTTACTGAATATTATTTTTTTAAGGTGAACTGAACAAGGCCTTATATAATTTTCTCCTTCTTGACTAAAAATATGAAATCAGAGTAATATCTATATCTATACTTCAGTACTACTATATAAATTACACAAACCCGAGCTGCCACGCATCCTCCTTTCCTTTTACATTTTTTTTATAATAATATAATTTTCTTTTTATTGGCCCTATCTAAATTTCTAATTAATCTTTTTTTCCATCACCTAAATAACATTTTTTTTTAACAACATCACCTAAATAACGTAAACTCGTAACAAGGAGTTTAATATTCAGTTTTTTTATACGTATATATACTATATAAATATCATTAAGTGTAACGTTACAAGATGTCACAAGATTGTAAAAGTTATTCAAGTAATTTATAATTTTTCAGTATAAATAATAACACATGCACAACCCGTACATAAAACGGACCCAAGAACTAGTTAAATTTGAATAGAGGTGATCAACATCGGCTCGGCCCGAAAATAAGGCGGGTTTGGGCAAGCCTAAAAACGCAATTTTAGTTAAAAACCCGAACCCGACCCGAGAAAAGCCCGTTTTGGCCCGACAAGCCCGCTACTTTTTTCGCGGGTTTGGGCATGAGAAATTATGATAAGGCCCGGCCTGGACCGATTTTTTATCATCTCTAAATTTGAATAAGCTTGTTCATGAGTGTTTCTAACTCCTATTCGTGCATTTATATGTGTTTTTGTAATGTAAAATAAATAATAAACAAATGTATATGTTCAATTTTTTTAATGAAAAAATGTATCTATTCAATTACTTATACTTCGTATGTTGATTGACCATATGTCTCGCCCACTGACCCACACGTCTATAAAAAATACACGGTAACAATAAAAGGGAAATTTGTCTAGAACTACCCGAAAGATAGACTCATTTGTGAAGAACTACCCATTTTTTTTTAGGGAAATTTGCCCAAAATAACACGAACTTTGGCCGGTTCGCCAATAATAACACCACCTTTGAGTTATTCCAAAATAACACCAACTTTGGGGGGTGTCTTCCAAAAATGGTACAAAAAAAATGGTAACCGGATTTAGGAGGTAATATTGCTGACGTGTGTTATGTCTTTGCCAGGTTGTGCGTTGCTTCCCCTTAACCATCCAACGTGTTCTTTCTTCTTCTTTATAACCGTTAGAAAAAAATGCCAAGCCCTTTATTCTTCCTTCTTCTTCATTCTCTGTTGTTCCTCTCTCAGTAGTCGTTGCTCCATCTTCTTCCTCTGTTTCTTTGTTTTCCTCTCTCTTAATTTGTTGCTCCTTCTTCATCTTCAAGTTCTTTGTTTTCCTCTGCTCTTCATCTCTCTTTAATCGTTCGTGTTGTATCAATTTTAGTGCTCTTAAAAAATTAATCAATGGCTACAAGAAGGTCAATTTCGAACCAATCATGTTCATCCTCTAGCATAAAAAGGATGGGTAATTCGAAAATTCGTTGCAATTGTGGGAATGAAGCTTTGATTAAAACTGTGAGAAAAGGCCCTAATTTGGGGATGAAGTTCTACGGCTGCCCTATGTGGCCAGTAAGTTGTGATTGATTGTCCTATGTTTATTGCATCTTTTTTTGTTTATTGCATCTTTTTTTGTTTATTGTAATTTGGGGATATGTAATTGTAATTACCCTAATTTGGTGTTGTTTATTGTTCATATTTACTGGATGCAGGACACTCAATGTGATTTTTTCAAGTGGGTGAATGAGCAGGCTGAGATGGAAGATTATGAAGTGAAGTTGTTGGAAAAGGAAACCGTAATTGGTGAGTTACAGGTTGAACAAAAAATCGCACATGAGAAAATAAAGAAATTGCAATTAAAGAAAGGAAAATTGGAGGAAGACATCATAGGGTTGAAGAATGAAATAGTTGTAATGAAGATTGATTTAATGAAGTGTGGTAGGAATGAAAAAACGTTGTACTTAGCATTGTTGTTTTCTTGGTTGTTGTTTGGTGTTGTAATCTTCCTTTATTGATTAAGGAAGAAATGAGGATGTATGTTGAATGTTTTATGTGGAAATAAAAAGCAATCAGTGTAATTGATTAATGGATGCTTAATTGAATGTTTAATGAGTAATGTTTGCTGTTGTATTTTGTACTTAATTGATTTTCATCATAATTGCAATAGCAGTGTACAATTGACATACCAGAGCTAGATCAAAAGACCACAAATTTCCCAAATTATTTGCACAAAATGAAAAACAAACAAAACCAGAGCAATGTTAAAAGACCACAAATTATTTGCACAAATTGAAAAACACAACCACAGCAATATCAAAAGACAAAGGCAGAACTGTTATAATGCCTGCAAATGTTTCAATAATGCATGCAACTGTTTCCAAAATACCTGCAACTGTTTCCAATACTTAATTACATAAGATCTCTAACATTGTTTAACAACTAAATTGTTTGACAAATTACACACTTAGACCAAAAGCATACTTAGTAAGTACAAAAGAAATGGGGCACATAAGATCTTCACTTGATCACTGCTGCATCTGGGAGATAGATCTTGTGTTTGGTCTGGTACTTGGTGCCTGCCACACAAATTACAAAGTTATTGGCTTATTTTCCAAAAAAAAAAAACAAAGCAAACACAAAAATGAAAGGGGGAGTACTAATTCTTACTGTAACAATTGGGCTTCCATCATCAGCAAACATTATCCCAATTCCTGATGGTTGTGCTCTTCCCCTTCCCCTTCCTCTTCCCCTACTTGTAGTTGTAGACCCTCTACCAGCCGAGCTTCTTCCTCTGGTGCTGCTTTGACTGACACTTCTAGCACCTTGACCTCCAAGTATCATTCTTCCACCCCTGCCTAGTTGAGTTGGCTGTGCAGTAGCAGTATGGTGGGCAAATTGTGTTGCAGGAGTTGAAGATGATGCAGTCTGTGTCAGGGTGGGTGTTGGGGTTGCTTGTGTAGATGGGGCATGTGAGGTTACATCAGTAGATGGGGCAGTCTTTCTTGGTCTTCCCTTGGGTCTTTTGGGTGCTGGTTCATCAGGGACAACAGAATCCTTGTCTTTGCAGCCTCTCTTGTTATGACCCTTCTTCTTGCATATGCTACAAGTCATTTCTACTCCTGCCCTACTCAATGACCCTGGCTTCTTAGGATTCTCAAGAGGGTGCTTAATTCTGTTCTTTCTTGGCCTACCAGGACCTATCTTGATAGGAGGGGGGTCCAAATTGCATGGACATCTTGGCCAATACCTCTCACCTTCACATGGAGGTATACAACCACTGTAGGCCTTCTTATAAGTCTCAACTTTGTAACATTCATCAACAAATACCTCAGGTTCTTGGTTCACAAAATAAATGCAAGCTATGGCATGACAGCAAGGAATGCCTACCATATTCCATTTTCTACAACTGTTCATTGGGATCCCTGGAAACAGCAGTTAATATCTGACCCCCAAGAAATGTCTTCAAAAATGCAGCATCCACACTTATCACTCTCCTACACCCTGCTGTCCACCCTTGCTTAACTCCATCAAAGCAAGTGAACATCCTACTAAACATTGGGGTAGAACTCTGAGGTTGTGGAGCAACTACCAAGTCCAACACTGTTTCAAGACTTGCTTCCTTCAATGCCTTCAAGTACCTCTCCACCTTCATATAATGCTCTTTCATAGAGCCATGTAACATCTTGTGTGCATGGTATTTTACTTTGTAAGCAAAATCTCTACTGACAATCATTCTGTAAGACCTCCTTACAGTGTCTACAATCTCCTTAGCTGGCCAATGTGGCCTAGCTTTGAACACATCAAGCAACTGCCTAGCCACCCAACTGGACTTCAACTGCCTGTTACTATTCATGTTCCTATGGCATGTGTGATTTCCAACTACTCTCTTCACTAGCCAAGTTGCATCTCTAGAATGCACAGAAAAATATAAATAAAATGGACATTCACCAACACATTTCACTCCCAACCTTTGTCTGTTTTTCCAGCTCACACTATACTTTAGATCTCTACCCTGTAATACAGCATACTTAGTGACAGCATCCTTAATGTCACTGGCATTAGCAAACCTCTGACCAACCTTCCAATGAAACTTACTGAAATCAGTTTCATGGCTCACTAACTCTCCCTTTTTCCCTTCTAATTCATCACTACTACCAGGTGGTGTATCAATGTCATTATCTTCATCACAGTCACTTAGGTTTACATCCCTTGCAACCTCTTCATGAACTGAGTTCTCCCTCTCTTCATCAACTTCAAACTCCCTCTCCTCATCAACTGCCTTTTCCTTCTCCTTCTCCTTACAAACTTTTTCTTGCAATCCCTTCACTATCTCAAGTAACTTTGTATTAACCCTCTTTACTCTATCCCTTGCTTCAATAATCTCATCATCAATGTCATCAGATTCATCTTCAAAGAAATCAGTTTGTTCTAGATCTTCACCTTCACCTTCTAGATCTATGTCAGATAGACTAAAATCACCTTCCTTCTCTTTCTCTATGCTCTCATCTACCTCAAACTGAAAATCATCTTCATCATCATCTTCAAACTCCCCACCCTCACAAAACTTCTGATACTCATGATCATATAATGGATCACTGTCATCACTAGACTCATCATCAGCAACTAATTCATTCCATTTCAAAGGGCTCTCTGGTCTGTCATCCTCCCACTCAAATTCATCATTGAAATCTGTGTTAACATCAGGCAACTCACCAGTAGAAACAAACTCTAAGGATGGGAATTGAGAAAGATGAAGAGACTGGTTTTGAGTGAAGGGTTGAGTTTCTGAAGTGATTTTCAAGGGGGGTTGAGTCTGTTTTTTTGTTTTTTTTTGGGGAAGGTCAGATGCTTTTTCTGGTAAAGTTATAGATGTTTTTTTGGGTGATGTGGTAGATGCTTTTATAGGTGAAGTGGAAGCATCTTCTTCAGTCAATGAGGGTTTCACCACCTGTGTTTGTGGTCCCTTCCTTGTGGTCAATTTTTTTCTTTTGTTCAGTTTGGGTGGGGGTTTCTCAAGTACCTTGCCTGTTGTTTTGGATATGGTAACTTTGGGGTCAGCATTCAACAAAGTACTTTTCTGACTTGTGTTGCCCACATCAACTTCCACAACTTCAGCATTTGAACCTTCTCCCACTTCTCTCTCAAACTGAACTGCATACACAACAATACTCCTATTTACAACAGCTAACTTACCCATCTCTAACACCTCAGCATCCCCTTGAATTACTCTCAAACCTTTCTCAATATTTAACCCAGGCATTTGGTAAAACAAAGCATCCACATGAGCAAGCCCACACTTACTACCATAATCCCTTAAGTCCCAGTAACAAAGTTCATCTGGGTCAACATCAAAGTTAATATAACTCCCACCCTTATACACCATTTCACCATTACGAACATGCTTAAATTGACCCCCATACCAGAATCGAACAGTCACATTATCAAAAACATGAGTATTTGCAGCAGACCCTAGAATTAAACAACTCAATTAGACTACAAACAAACACTCAAGTAATTAACCCTAATTCAGCAATTAACAAGAAAATTTATCGAGTGAACAACATAATTCACCATACAAATCAACCTAATTATTAAACCTACTTTAACAATTACCAGCATAATTAAACATACGAACATCCATATTCAAATTAGAACACATAAAATCCACCCAACAATCATAATTCAAACAAAACAAAGAAATTAAAAAAACACGAACCTTTCTTCTTCGTCTTTCTGGGCATTTTGGGAACCAAAGATCGCAACTTTTTCACTCTTCTCTTCACTTCACTTCAATGCAATTTTCTTTGGGAGCAGTAGAATTTCGGAATTGAGTTCTGATTATTTCAAAGGGAAATGACGAAATGAGGAATTGAATATGCTCTGAGATCCTCTGATAAAATGGTTCGAAGACGAAGAAAGAGAGTGAAATATGGAGGGAAATGAATTAAAGAGGGAGACAGGAGTTAGGTGTGCAAAATTTAATTACACGTTCGATGGTTAAGGGGAAGCAACGCACAACCTGGCAAAGACATAACACACGTCAGCAATATTACCTCCTAAATCCGGTTACCATTTTTTTTGTACCATTTTTGGAAGACACCCCCCAAAGTTGGTGTTATTTTGGAATAACTCAAAGGTGGTGTTATTATTGGCGAACCGGCCAAAGTTCGTGTTATTTTGGGCAAATTTCCCTTTTTTTTATTTGTTTACAACTACCCGCAAGTTTGAAAACGTTTGGGTAGCACTACCCATTAACGTTTTCCGTCCAATTGCACCGTTAGTGGAGCCCACTTTTTAACTTTCCCACCTAATTAACTCCTCCCCCCAACTACCTTATGTCTTCCTCTGTAATTTCTTTTCCCTCCATTACCACCCAAAAAATCTGATTGAAGAAATCAAGCAAAGCAACACAAATTCAGGTAATCTTTCACATTTTCCTTGCAATTCATTGTTTTTCGCGCTTGTTTACAAGGTTTAATTGAATGCAATTAAAAGAATTAGGGTTGAAATCTGCCTGCCTCAAATTAGGGTTTACGTGTTCAATCAAAATTGGGGGTTTTGATTTCTAGGGTTTGGGGGTTCAATTGAGTTATGAGAATCAGTTATTTTGTATTTGAGATTAAATTATGAAGCATTTTAATTACTAATTGACATTGTAATTGGTAGGATGTCCAATTCTTCATATCACTCCGCTAAGCAATATCATCCAAATAAGTGCAATTGTGGAATTCCACCAAAATTGGAGACGTCGTGGACTACAAAAAACCCTGGGAGAAGATTTTTGGCTAGTAAATTCTATGATGCTGCATGTGATAGAAGAGGATGCAAATTTTTCAAATGGATTGATGAAGAAATACTTGAGTGCCAGAGAGTTGTCACTAATGAACTTGTGTTGGACAAAAAGCTGATGAAAATGAGATTGCTTTACTAAAACAACAGGTTTGCCTGCTTCAAGACCAAAAGGCTAGGGTGGAGATTGAAAAATAAAGACTTACCAAGAAATGCAAGACACTTTGTACTGCTATGAAGAAGGCAAAGGCAGGTGACGGGGAAGGTATATCAGGACTGATTTAGGTGGCGATGGTTGTTGTTATTGGAATTGTGTTAGTGTATTTAGGAAGGAAAATGATGTAGTAGGCAATTAGGTAATCATAGGTATTTCATTTGCACTGTATATATGGCATATGTCACAGATTTTGGCATGTAAACAGAGTGCAAATACTAACCTTTATTAATTTTAGGTTGTAATAATATTGTCGTGACAATGAAATGGAATGGTCTTTTGATGACTACCTTTACAATGCATAAATTTTGAGCACATTCATACTGAAAAACCTTGCATTTCATCATCCAAAATAATTACAAGGCCAAAGTGGATTTGTTCATCACACATAATAAAATATAGGCTACAACAATGTAATATTAGGTTGAAGTACATGTAGCCCCACAAAATGTATAAGGATTGTTCTTAACACAAAAAACAGAAAGAAACCAAATCACATCATAATCTATGGCTTCCACACTGGGTGATTCTTCATTTTTGACTTAATTGGAAGCTTAGCTTTTGATTGTTCTGCCTTGGACTTCCATGTGTCATTTGTCTGAGGCAGGGGCTGGGATGTTGGGGTTGGTTGAGTAGGTTGTGGTGGACCAGAAGCTGCATCTTGTGAGCTTTGCTGAGATGGAGCAGTTTGTGATGTGGATGTGCCAGTTTGAGGGTTAATCTTACCCTGAGAAAAAAAATTAAAACAAATTATAACACATTTAGACCATGGTTTATTACCTTAAAAGATACAAAACAGCTTGAGTCCCCACATACCTTTTTCACAGCTCTTTCCCAATTCTTCTGCCTTTGTAATACATTACAGGGGCTCATTGATGGGGTCTTCCACCTAAGTTAATCTCTTTGGATGGAGGTGGATTCTTGCACTTGTTCTTATAATGCCCTGACTGTCCACAATTTGAGCACTTTGTCAGTTTCTTAGCTCTTTGGCACTCCACAGCTTCTTCCCTCTCACCAATTTCCTGCTTCCTTTTCTTGAGGGAGGATCTGCCAGGCATTTTCCTAATCACAGGTGGTATGGGTTGCATCATGTCAGACCTTTTCTCCCATAGTTTCATGCCAGGCATAGGTCTGATACATGGTGTGTATGCCTCTAAGTATTTGTCCTTGCTGTAGAAATCATAAACAAAGTCCTTTGGCCTGAATCTTTTCTTGATTATGCAAGCCCAAGCATGTGCACATGGGATCCCAATGAGCTCCCATCTGAAGCAGCTACATGTTCTCTCCTCCAAATTGACTACATATCTATCATTGTAATAGTCCACTTCTCAAATGTCTAGCCTACAAGGAATTACATCACATTTGTTAGCCAATTCTGACACAAATTGGAAGACCTTGTCAACATAAGGCATAAATCTCCTTTCATGCCTTTGCACTGCATCCCATTTCTCAGTGTTTCTCTTCATCACAAACCTCCTAATCCATTCTAGGCACACTAGTAGAAATTTTGAAATAGGCACCCCCCCTTTAGCACCGGTTCTTGAAAATCGGTGCCAAAAAAAATGGGCGGGATTAGAAAATTCAGAGTTGGCACCGGTTCCAACCAAAACTGGTGCCAACTAATCTAATTAGCACCGGTTCAAACCGGTGCCAACCAAAAGATAAAAAAAATAAAAAAAAAACCGAAGAAAGTAATAGAGTTGGCACCGGTTCGTCTTAAACCGATGCCCACTATAGTAGTTAGCACCGGTTTGAACCGGTGCCATTAAAAAAAACCGGGCCTCTCGTATTTCTTCTTCTTCTTCTTCTTTTCTTTCCCCCTGATTTTTCAACTTGTTTTTTTCCCTCAGCTCGTTCTCACCTTCTCTTCTAGGCCACCACCTCCGAATTCCCACCTTCTCCATTGAAGCCGTTTTTGAGCTCTCTCACTCCATTGAAGCAGCTGCATGCACCTCCTTCTATCTCCATATCTCTCCTCCATTGAACTCGTGCTCTCTATTCTCCATTGAAGCGCATTTTGAGTTTTCTCACCTCCATTGAAGCAGCTTCGAGGTAAGATTTGGGCCATTGTGGTCTTCTTAATCTACCGAATTTCTTCGCAACCTAGGGTTTGTCGTTGATTTGGTTTTCAATTTTGTAATTTTAGGGTTCTAGTTTTACTTCTATTTTTTGTCAAACAAAGTAAGTAGGAGAAGGAGAAAGTAGGTCCTACCCGCCGCCACTCACCCTTCGCCGGCCACCCTCCGTTCCCCTCAGCCGTCCTTCATGCGTCGGCTACCAACCACCAGGTAATTTTTCTGATATTTTTCGTTAACACTAGATATCAGTTATCACCTGATATTTCTAAGCAATAATTATTATCAAAACTTGAGAGATTTTTTAACATTTTTGGGTAAAATTTCGCCTTTGAATTGATATAATCAATAATCGTAGTCGGTCGATATAATCATGCAAGGTAGAAAACCCAATTTGTTTGCCGAATTATTCAAATTTTGAGCGTAAACTGGAGTCGATTGATATAATCAATGAATCCTGCTAACACTGTTTTTGGTTGTTTTCTCTAATTTTTTTTAAATTTTTTGTTGCGATTTTTAGTTTTTGGATTAGATATGTTTATTTTCTTTCTAATTCTGTATTAAATTGTTGTTTATATTTACGATTTTATTGTGATTTTTATTGCAATTTTCTGGCAATGTTTAGTTGACTAAGACGGACGGACATTGATGCAGGTAGATGAATGGTGAATGTGTTTGTAGTCCCTTAGGCATTGCATTAAGGGATGCAGGTAGATGAATGGTGAATGTGTTTGTAGTCCCTTAGGCATTGCATTAAGGGATGAGGTGTATTGGGTTAGGGACCTCTATTCTGTACCGATTAGGAGTTTTTTTTTTTTTTGTGTGTGTGTGTGTTGGGGGAGGGGGGTTAGACCTTGTTTTGATCATTTTCTGCGCTCTTTACTTTCTTATCTTATACAATATAATCTTAATCTAGCAATCTATTTTGTAAGGAAATATGGATCTCCCATCTTGATATACACAAGACGATATTTTTCTAACTATTGATCGGATTTTAAGGGTTTATCAGTTATCACCTCCTTCATCTTCTTAATAACTTCAACCATTTGTAATTAGGGTGGAATTTCTTTTTCTTCAACAAGATTTCACTGCAAAAAATGGAATCTGGGAATTATAAATCATGGGAAGAAGAAATTTACTGGAAGAATTTTCATTTTGCTCGTTTCTCTCTCATTTTACCCACTAATTTTCATCATCGTCTTGTAATTATTCCGTATTTAATTAAATTACTGCACATTATTTATTTAATATTAAATCCATTTCTTTACTTTGATCTTGTAAAATAAACTACAATTAAATTGCCAATGTACTAGTATTTTTGTTGCTGATTTTTCTTCATTTTGGTTTCACCATTAGTTTATTATGATTATAAATGTGTTATTCCTCTGTTTTTCTCAAGGGTTTGTGAGTTGACTATGGTCAAGGTTTTTTTTAAGGGTTTATCAGTTATCACTATGACAGGGGTTTTTAATTATATGCGTAAAAAAGTGACCCGACTCGACCTTAAAGTAATCCGATCAATATTTCGACATATATGGACAAAATAACTCACAGGTTTTACATGATGTAAGGAACCCTCATGTTAATGCTCATAATGGCTACATCTATTTTCTTGCATTGTAAATGTTGTGATGTAAGGAACCCTCATGTTAATGTTGTGATGAGTTCGAGTTTCAATAAGAATGTCATTCTTACTGTTCATATGTTATGATATTAATATACCACCAATTCGTTCTTATTGTTCATATGTTATGATATGAATATGCCACACCAATTCCTTATGTATGAGTTTCAATTTGCTTTATATATGTGATACAGTAGGAGACAATGACTCTAAATCAAGAACAGTGGAGAAGGAAGTGAATCCAAGGGGAACAAATTTATGTTGTGACGGCGATAAGGTGTCTATGCTATGTTTTTTTTTCAATTTTGTAAAGTGTAATATTACAAGTTATTGAACAAAATATATGTGTTTTATGTATATTAGTATTATATATAATTATTTGGTACATTAAGTGAAAAAAATGCAAAAAAAAAAATTTTATTTTTTTTTATTTTTATGGGGTATTTTTGGCACCGGTTTTGACCAGAACCGGTGCCTAAAGTGGCGTTTTTTGCACCGGTTCTTGCTTTGAACCGGTGCTAATAGTATTGAAAATAGAAAAAATAAAAAACGCGCCATGGTAGTTGGCACCGGTTCAAAGCATGTAGTTGGCACCGGTTTTGAACCGCTGCCAAATTTTCATGGATTTGGCATCCCTCAAATA